ACTTATAAGTATTGAGCCATAAATGGCAGTGCCATGTCAAAAACCAAAATAATTCTGCAAGTTTGTGATCCACCATAATCTGCATTAACATATTTAATATCCCAATGTAGGATATCAAGTATGAATATTATAAAAAAAAAATAACGTCTTAAAATACTTGCAGAATGTAAAAGCTGTACTTGCTTTTTCAATTATAATTCTTTTGCGCAATTAGCAGTAATACCCGTTGTAAAATTTGATATATTTTTATCCATATTTATGTCTTCAAGCTAAAAAAGAATTATAAGTGGAATATTCAAACTATATAAGAAAATTTGTTTACTTAGTAGCATATATTAAACAAAAAGACCTTTGTTTCACATTGTGTTTACTTACACATGAAGTACTGCTTAATACGTCATCAATTTCCTCAATTTCTTCACTTATTTCTTCACTATGCGCACTTTGAGTTTTGTCTTGTCTTTTTGTTTGTAATTTTATTGGGCTATTTAATTTTTCAGGTTCTTTGGTAGGGCTTTGATCATAAGCACTACCGGATGCAGATGAAATGAAATCTTCTTCGTAATTATCAACACCATGTGTTCCTGAAAAGATTATTTTAATAGTATAAGACGTGAAAGTGCATAGCTACACTGTAGATGATTATGCAAATGTGCTACTCAAGAATTACTCAAGAATATTAGGTATAATTTTCTATTTTAAAATAAATTTGCACAGACGCCTACAGTCCATAAATGTTTAACATATATCAACATACCAAGTCCAATATCCATCAATTCTTTCAGATCATTAATATTAGTCTTTTTACCATTTAATGGCGGGAGATCACTAAGTATAGAATGGGATTTCTTATCTAATGATGGTAAATCTTGTAAAAAGGATTCACTATTATGTATAGTATTGATATTTTCTTTTTTTCCATCAACAATAATTTCTTCAAAGTATACAGTTTTCCCAAAACTATTTCCAGTATTAACTGACTTTTTATTTTGTACGTTATTTGCTATTTGTAAATCCAAACTATTTATATTATTTTGCTTACTTATATCTTCATTTTGATTTGTTTGCAGTTCAGTAACTATAGATTCATCAAACTTAATTAAAGGCTCGGTTTTATTTAGTAAATTTGTTTGGATGGTTGCATCTACTTCAGTCTCCTCTGTCATGTGATTCATCACTGTAGTTGTGCCATTCGGACTTACAGAGAGTGTATCAAAATGCATATTATTGTTCCCTGTGCTATCAATTCCATTGTCTTTTTCTGAGTCTTCAGAAGCAATACTTTTCCTGAGAGAATTATTTTGTTTTTCAGAATTTGATCGATCTATTGAAATATCATCAAAAGACATTTCTTTACTCTTGTTATCATTTATTGTCATATTTATTGGAAGTTTTGGGCTTTGTTGCGAAACACTCTCCAGTTTACCCGAAATATCATTATTATTGGATAAAGATGCTGTTTCTTTATTTAATACCTTCGGAATGGAAATTTCAAATGTTGCATTGGCAACATTTGTGTCATTTTCATTGGTTTTATTAAACCTGCTGTTATCAGTTTCATTCTGTAATAATAATTATATTTTTTAATTATATTTAACATTTTAAATACAATATGAATTAAAATGTTGTGATATAAATACCTTCTGTGTGTTATTGAAGGCACTAATCATGCTATTTTTTAAAATTTCACCAAGTAATGGTTCATTTGATTCAATACCTAATTCTTCACATAATTTATTTC